CTTATCTGTAATTTATATAATCATATATTCAGTTTGTGAAGTTTTGTGTAATACAAGAAAATCAGGTGATGATCTTCATGTATCAATCTTTTTGCACTGGACCATATTGTAAATTAAAGTATTCAACACTATGTAATCCTAATATGATTGCATTAAAAAAAAACACCTAATATAATAAACCAGTTGGAATATCCCTAGTCATAATTGGATGATTCATATTATGTAAAATTTTCACTTCAGTAAAACCTGTACTTCCAGTACATTCTGCAAGACCTTGATTAGCTAGATTTTTTACTTTAACATTAAAAACTTGCCATAGCTTATAATATACTTTTTTGTCTAAAATATTGATTAGCTTAAGAAGTGTTGATTTTTCATTCAAATGTCGATTTAAAGCATGGAGACAATTATTAACTAAGGAAGCATGATTCTATAAATAAAATAAACTAAAAAAAATGATGTATAAATAATAAATTAAATTATACTTTCCTTACGTCATAGTATTTAAGTCAACATCATAAAATCCATTAAAAAGCCAACTGCATTAGAAATTAAAGAGATTATTATTATTTGGATTAAGAATATTAAAAGTAAAGATTTTGATATAGAATTAGAAGATGATATTGTAGATTTTTATAAAGCAGATAAAGTATTAAAATAAAATCAAGATAATAAATTAATTGATATAAAAGATCATCCACAAGTATTTCATACAAGTCGTTTACTTGATTTTACTAAAAGATTAAATGAAATTTTAGACCATAAAATTGAAATTTTAGAAATTAGTCAAAGTATTGGTAATTATTATAATATATATGTATATAATTTATTAATTTTTTTAATTTAACATATATATTTTAATTTAATAGAAGCTTTAAATATTACAAATAATGAATAAGTAAGTAATTTAAATATAAAATTGAATATATATTTTAATTTATTTATATTAATTTATTTTTTATTATAGATGAAAATAATTAAAATATATTATAAAAAATTAAATATTTTTTTTTTTATAACTTTATTATATTATAAATTTTATGAAATATTTATTTAGTAACACTGTATATAGAACAAATATTATAAAAATACAGTTTGTAATTACATAAATAAATTTATATGTATATAAATTAAATTATAATTATTAAATTAATTAAAATATGAATTATTAATATTTATTAAATTAATTATTAAATAAATAATTAAGATTAATAATTAATATAAATTAATTAATTTAATTATAAAATAAAAATAAATCAAAAAATCTAGAATAAATAAATTATATTCTATAAGAAATTTATAAATAAAAATAATATATTTTTTATATTTATAAAAAAAAGTATATTGTTACATATAAAAACTGTTCAATTTATAAAGTAATTTCAGCTTTATGTGATATAAATTTAGCATATTTAAAGTTTTATTAAGGTTGAATCTAATTATTATTGAATTAACATTTCTATAATTTTTAAATCACATAATTGTTTTATTTTAAAAATTTGCAGTTTAAATAATTAAATGCTATTTCTTATATATTAATATACAGATTCTCATTCCTTTAGGTTCAAAATAATTGCTTTCTGTTTTTTAAAATTTTTTTGGATTAAGTGATTGGATTTTGATGGATTTTAATGAATTTTAATTATTTGAAAGATTAGAACTTATTGAATCTGCTAATCAAAAATTGATAGGAATTGTACTAGTCAAATTAATAAATAAGACATATAAAAATCAGCCTAAAATTGGTAAATTAATTAAAATCAGCCTAGCTGATTGGTATATATTAGAAATCGGTCAAGAATCAGCTAAAATTTAACCTATCTTATTTATAGCCAATTGGCATACTTATTGCTGATTGATATATAACAAAATTAGCTAAAATTTAACCTATATTATTTATAGCTAATTGATATCCAATTTGCATCTGATTAATATATATTAAAAATCAGCTAAAATTCAACCTATATTATTTATAGTCAATTAACATCTGATTTATATCTGATTGATAATACATTGAAAATCAACTAAAATATTTCAAAATAAAATAAAATTCAGAAGGAAAAATAATTGATATTTTGTAGGAATAATAGCCAAATAATGCTAAAAATATTCAATTTATTTTCACAAATGGTATTTTCTATTAATTGGATTAATAGTTAAATATTCTTTTGCATTTCACTAAGCTGAAATTCAATAAAAAATTGACCCAAAATACAGTGGACAACAAAAGAAACACTAGTGTGATTGGTTACATTTGAACGGCTATAACTCATCAACCACAAATACTAGAAACATGATCTTGTACTTGTTTTAAAGCCCAAATCTTGAAGGATATCTTGGCGAAATTTAGTATCAAGTTAATAATACCAATTTTGTGTA